CAATAACAGTCTCATGTCGAGCCCAAAGCGACCTTTTCCTGTGAAGAAAAACGTCCGCCAGCGTTACAGCTGCCCTGTAGTCAGACGTTGGTTCGTCAAAGGCTAGCAGCGACAACTTCGATTAAAAGCCGGCCGGAGTTGGGGATCGGTTTCTAAGAAATTCCCCGGGCTACCTGATAGTGAGCCTTACCAGCAAGTGACAAATGACAACACAAATAAATGGGCCTTAGCACACTGCGCATCTCTCCACCCGTCCATGCCGGCGGTTCGGTGCTCGACTGACGAGAGACTACTAAGAATCTCAGATGAAAGGCCGCCCGTCATCGGGTAAACGGTACTTGTCTTCCCTCGCTACTTCCATCCTCAGCTGTAAAGCAGTGGCAACCGGCAAAACATTAACTCAACTAATGGAGGAAAGACTTTTCTTGCGACATCCCTGCTGCGAAGAGGAGAGACGTGATGAATATAGGAGGAATCGCATGTGTAGTCAGCGAAAGCTAGTCTAGCAAAATTTTCTTTTGCCACATGAAGTTATCAAGGCTGGGCGTGCTATACCTCCAAGTGAACAAGAATAGACCTTAGAGATTGTCAAAAGCCATGCTCCCACAGGAACAGCCGACTAGAAGAAAGTTAAAGGATTCCATCAAGAATTGGAATAGGCACTAATCACAGAATCAAGCAGGGAAGGGAGGACGGAAAGATCGTAGGCAGATGTGGCACGGAATGAGAGATCGTATGGCGACCATCGACGACACATCTAAGCATTGGCAACAATTGATTCAAAAGGAAGATCAATAGCAGGTGGAAACGGATCGCGCCCAAAAGAATGGCATCGACTTCGTCCAGTTCCATAAACGCCGTATCGTCCGAAGCATAGCAATAGTGCCATCCTTTAACAAAGGCCGTGATGACGACAGACTGGTGTAGGCCAGGCTGACCCTCGAGGAAAGCACTGCAATGACCACACGAAGACAAAGACAGACATTATCCGACAAGGCGATGCTCAAACACACGTTTCTTGTAAAGGCTAGTTCCCGAAACGCAGCTAATACGCGACTACGAGAAGTTCGTGGAAAAACTGAGGCTCTGCGCGAATCGCCTTAGGTAGCTATATCAAAGAGGGCGAAAGGAAGGATCTGAGAAGAGATAAGGAGTTTGCTGGAGCAGCGGAGGAGATTAAAGAGAGACCGACAAGGCCGAGTTATTACTTCTCTGACAATTGATTAGATGGAAGCTAAAGGAGAACTTAGAAATTTTCGGATTGCGATAATTAGAGAAAAAGCTGACGACCGCAGAAGCCTCAGACAGTGCAGAAGAGAATTGACCATCACAGCGCCTGATAGGGCTAAGATGCAGTCAATCTGCAACAACTTTTACCTCCGACTCTTGCTGTCAGAAGCATGCATTGGATGCTCGTAAACAACGTTGGTTATGCGACCCTTCATCACCACTCCAACAGTCAGAAAAAGTGCACTTCCAGTTCTTCTATGCGAGTTCAGTCTGCCAGGGAGCAAAGTTAGAAGGAATAACTCCAAAGAACAATGATCAAAGCATGTGACCATATGCTGTTGAGAGCTGCAGCGGAGATGTCGAACGAAATCGTGCAGATCAAGAAGGGCCAGAGGGAAGATCTGAGGAACTGTCACCAAATCTCTCTGCTTTCTCAAGTCTACATGCCGCTACTAAAATTATCACCAACATAATGACGGAAAGTCTGGCAACCAAAAGAATAGGCTGGATTCCGAAGGAACTACAGCATAACAGATAGCGTATTTGGCTTAGATCAGTTTTTCGAGCGCGACGCACGAGGGTATACCAGCTCCCTCGGTACATGACCTGCGTAAACCAGGAGAAACGTTCGACACTTTCGAGTTCAACGCAGCATGGACTGCACTGACAGAACAGGGCATTGACACCCGTTACATAGACCCGCTAAGGGAAGGAGAGTATGGCTGCTTCCAATACATCACACGGTTCACCACTCCTTTCCGGATACCCATATAAAAGGGTATCAAATAAGGGGCACTATCTCCCAAAAACTCATCGCTTCCTGTTTAGAACTGGTGCTTTGGATGATGAACTGGAAGGGTGAGGTTAACACCATCGG